GGTGCCTTTGGATTCCAAGATTGAGCTGAGTATTGACGTGGGAAGATGTTCCTGTTCTTTCCAAATATCTGTAAGGGGCTATTTTGATGCTAAGGATGTGAACTGTCTTTTTCTAGAAATAGTCCTCTTGTATTTTTGGACGGGGGGGAGGGTTAGGGGGAGGTACCGGGGATTGAGCTCAGGGGCACTTCACCACTGAACCAATCCCCAACCTTCTTTTGAATTTTATGTAGAAACAGGGTTTCACTGAGTTTAGTACCTCCCTTTTTTTTATTAGTTGCTCAAGACAATACAATGATCTTGACATATCATACATTTGATTCAAATAGGGTATGAATTCTCATTTTTCCACGTGTACAGATTGCAGGATCACATTGGTTATACAGCCATGTATATACATACAGCAATACTAGTGTCTGTTGTATTCTAGTACCTCCCTTTTTGCTTAGGTTGGCTTTGAACTTGCCATCCCCCTGCCTCAGCATCATGAGCCATGGGGATTACAGGTTTGCACCACCATGCCCAGCTCCTGATATTTTTAATGTATAAACACACACACACACACACACACACACACACTCACACATACTAGTAATACTAATAATAATAGTAGTGATAATAACAACAGAAACTGTTTTTCTATGTGAAATGAGAGAGCTCATCAGGCTTCTGGCTCATCTTGGTGGGGTGCCTTTCTTTTTCTTAAAAGTCACAGCAGAAATCAAATTTTATCAGTTTAAATGGAACGATATTTTAGGAATTTTGATCTGGCCACCAGAGGATCTTTTTTCCTTAATGACAAGGGCTTAGCATCCAGCAATGAAGCCCTCAGTCTACAAAGAAAGCAGGAGGGTGGCTTTGGCCTGTACCTTAGGTCATTAAAAGCACTGCAAAACTAGAACTTGTCTTATTTTTCTGTTTTCTCTCTAGGCATTTTTTAAATTCTGGGTATTTTTAACCTCAAAAATTAGATAATGTTTTGTTTTAAATTAATTAGTGATATTTTAAACCTTCAAACAACATATCCATTTTATAAGTAGATTTTAAACATCGTTTTCAGGCTCTTTATAGAGATTATGTCCTATAAATGCAATTCCTTCCTTTATTTTATTTTTTTAAATTTTTTTAATAGTTTTAGATAAACAGAATGCCTTTATTTTATTTGTTTATTTTTATGTGGTGCTGGGGATCGAACCCAGTGCTTCATGCGTGCTAAGCAAGTGCTCTACCACTGAGCCACAATCCTGGCCCTCCTTCCTTTATTTAAAAAAAAATGTATTATTATTTATTTATTTGAGTACCCCAGGGTGCTTAACTATTTAGCCATATCTCTAGCCCTTTTTTATATTTCATTTAGAGACGGTCTCGATGAGTTGTTTTGGGGCTATCTAAGTTGCTGAGGTTGGCTTTACAATTGCAATCTTCCTGCCTCAGCCTTCCGAGGCCCTGGGATTATTGGCATGTGCCACCATGCTCCGCTCCTTTCTTTATTCTTTAAACATCACCTTGATGAGGAATGCCCAGCTTTCTGTACCTGGGAGTTCTTCAGTATTGCAAAACCAAGACTAGTTTTGTTTTTTCCTTTTTAAACTACCACTGACAGCAGGATATGATGCTGCACATTTGTAATCCCAGCTACTTGGGGAGGCTAAGGCAAGGAGGATTGCAAGGTTGAGGCCAGCCTCAGCAACTTAGAGAGAACTGTTTCAAAATAAAAAACGAAAAGGACTGGGAATGTTGCTCAAAAGTAGAGTATCCCTGAGATCAATACCCAGTACCAAAATAAAACAAAACCAGAAACTTACCATTGACTGAATTCTCACTCTGAGCCAAGCACTCTATGCCAAGTACTTTACATGTATTATCTCATTTCATTATCTAGTAATCCTGAGAACTGGGTAATATTGTTTCTATTTTTCACTTGCTTATATACTTTTTCCTCTTTCTCTTTTCTATTGAGTTTTTATTTTATTTTCTCCCCTAATTTTTCAAAGAGTAAACTGAGAAAAGTTTTAAAATCTGATGGTGGGCATAGTGGTGCATGCCTGAATTCCCAGTGACTTGGGAGGCTGAGGCAGGAGGATCACTAGCTTCAGAAACTTAGCAAGGCCCTAAGAGACTTAGTGAGGCCCTGTCTCAAAAACAAAAAATAAAATCAAGGGCTGGGGAATGTGGCTCAGTGGTTAAGCGTCCCTGGGTTCAACCCCTGGTACCAAAAAAAGAAAAGAAAAGTCTACAAGCCAGCCAGATGGTATACAGCTAATGAGTGAAGAAGGCAAAATTCAAGTCAGGTCTCTCTACTCCTACTTTCAGGCTATGCCTTTGACTTTCCTGGGGAGCATTTTCCCTTAATCTTCAACTTGAGTGGGAGTAGCTTGTAATTCTGGTCATGAAGGTATGCCTCCCTCAGTTTAAACATTAGCCTCTATAAGTGATTTGAGGCAGTTCAGTAGTGATAATCACCCTTTCTCCCTCTCTAAACAGAGTGTTTTTTTTTTTTAAATTGAGTTTTCCAACACTGGCATCTACATATGAACTAAGATCTCTGTATAATGTTTTGCAGATGCCTTTACCACATTTAGTTTATACTCATTTTTCTTGGAGAACTCAGCTCAATATTTTTGTTGTTGTTGTCCAAACATATTATTTTCGCTTTTGAGGTTAAGTAATCTATCACAAGTTGGTAGACTTCTAAAAATTTGGATGAGGAAGAACCATGGAGATCCATTCTCCCAAACCCATCACTGGATGGGCAAGATTGGGTGGCCAGGGGCTATAGTCATCCTGGGCTAGAAAAACTTCAGAGCCTAGCAAGTACTCAGGCAAGACAGCCTCAGTCACTCCACCTACAACTGAATATAATTCTACTACTTCTAAGGAGTTGTACACGAAGTCCAGAAATCAAGAAGAGATATTTAAATGGGTGCTTAAAATTTTCTTTTTAAAAAAGAAAAAAAGGGGGGCTTGGGTTGTGGCTCAGTGGTAGAACACTTGCCCAACATGCATGAGGCACTGGGTTTGATCCTCAGCACCACATAAAAATAAATAAAATAAAGGTTTTGTGTCCATCCACAACTAAAAAAAGAAAAACAATTTTTTTAAAGAAAGAAAGAAAGTAAAAAAGGACTCATACCAAATGGCAGCTGAGATGACAGCTCTGACCACTTTCAGGAGCATCCTCGTGACACTGCTGCCACCACACTGCCATCTGGGCTATGGCAGCCGGCCAGCCTTGCCCAGGGGAAGGCGGCCTCTGACCAGGCTCCCGCCTGGTCTCTAACTAAAAAGGGACATTTGGCTGCAGACTGGCCTCCAGGTGTTCAAAAAACCTATTTGTCCTCCCTTGGTCAGATTTCTGCCCAATCTCTGCTCTTCTCAGACATACAAGGGAAAATCAGAGAGAGGGGACCAGAATGTCTGGAAGCCCAAGTAGAAAAGCACCAGAATGAGGGGCAACATGGATGGAACTGGAGGAGGACATTGTGTTAAGTGAAATAAGCCAAATAGAGAAAAAAACAGTACTCACCATCTTGCTTATACTGTGGAATTTAAAAAAAAAATGATCCCAAGAAGTAGCAAGCAGAATGCTGTTACCAAGAGTCTAGGATGGCAGGGGGAGGTAGGGGTTGGTCATAGGTGCAAAGTTAGGATAGGAAGAATGTCCAGGTGTTCTCTTGCATAGTAGGGTGACTATGGTTAACAATGGCGTACTGTATATTTTGAAATCACTAGAAGAGAGGATTTTAAATGTTCTCTCACAAAATGGTTGTGAATGTTTGAGGGAATAAACATGCTAATTAGCCTCATTTGATCATTCCATCTAATGGAGTGATCATTTATATACTTATATCAAAACATCACATTGTATCCCATAAATATTGTACAATTATTATGGGTCAATTTAAAATAAACCTTTAAAAAAAAACTCCCACCAGAGGGGCTGAGGCTGTAGCTCAGTGGTAAGGCACTTGCCTCGCATGCGTGAGGCACTGAGTTCGATCCTCAGCACCACATAAAAATAAGTATGTGTGTTCATCTACAACTAAAAAAAAAAAAAAAATCCCACCAGAACAGAGAAGGTGGGTGGTTATATTTAAGCTAAGCTGGCTTTCAATGTCACATGACTTACTCAGGAATGAGTGGATAAATGAAGGCCTTGGTATTGTAAAATTCATCCTTTAAGCTGGGCATAGTGGTGCACACTGATAATACCAGCAACTGGGGTAGCTGAAGCAGGAGGATCAAAAGTTCAAAGCCAGCCTCATCAACTTAGTGTGACCCTGACTCAAAATAGAAATAAAAAAGGGTGGGGATGTGGGAATGTGGCTCAGAGGTAAAGCACCTCTGGTCTCCCCCACTCCAAAAAAAAAAAAGAAAAGAAAAAAATATCCCTCCTTTCCTTGCATTCCAAATTCCTATTTGGGGCACTTGTCTAGATGGATAAGGCACTGAATTCAATTCTCAGCACCGTATATAAATAAATAAAGTCCATTGACAACTAAAAAAAAATATTTTAAAAAATTCTCATTTTGAGAGAACAAACACAAATAATATTCCCTAAGGGACAATAATAAAGATTTGGCCATTAACTATAGACCAATGTCTCCTTCAAAATTTAATGAATGAGGACGGGAGATGGAGCTCAGTGGCAAAGCAAGCACAAGGCCCTAGGTTTGATCCCTAGCACTGAAAAAAAACAAAAGAGGGAAAATTGTTTTCCTTTACTATTATAGAATATTTAAGATGAGTTAGCTCTTGGGTGAGTTTTCTGCCTTCATGTTTATAACTGAATTTCTCTAAATGAAAAGCATGCATTTCGTTCAGTGTAGACACCAAATTAATCATAGTACATTATTCTAATATATTTAACAATGTGGCTATTCTCATTTCCCATAGAAGAAGGTGCACAATGAAGACAATCCATGAAAACCAGATATACTGTCATGACAAGGACAGCAGGACCAGGCAGCAGAGGTCAAGAAACATCAGGCTACCCAATCATGGATGAAAACGATTTTTCAGAAGATACAACTTATAAGCAACAGGAAGATTTACCTTATGATGGTGATCTCTCCCAAATGAACATATGCAATGATTACAATTTTACCGGAAATACTAACACCCTCGATGTTATTCCAATAGGAGATGACCCCAAAGTAAAGGCTGCCCATGTTGAAACATACAGAAATACAGCCATGGCCATGACGTGGGATAAAGTTACTGAAAATGCTACCAATAAAAAGTGTGATAAAGAGAATCAACGCACCATGACTCTTCATGTTCAAGCTACTAAAGGAGCTGCTTCAAAGTCAAACGTTTCTGATATTTTACTCCATCATCTTTCTAAAGAGCAATTACTAAGAGTTCAAGGTATTAACTTTGAAACTCTCCCAGAGGCATGTAATGGTGACTGTTTTGATGAAACAGCTTTTATTAAAAATATTATTTCACGTTATGTTAAGAATTCTTTCCCAAAAGCACAAACCTCAGAATTCATTGACCAACTCAACCCCAAAAGAGATGTCAAAAAAAGCAGTAAGCCCACCGGTTCTCCTATCATGACAAAAGAAAATATCTGTGATTTAGAAAAGCCAGTTGTGACTGCAAATAGCAACCATCACGAAAATTTAAATTTTCTAACTAAAATCAAGGGTCCACAGGATGAACAAAAAAGTTGCCAACGGCAGACACCCCAGAAACAGTTGACAGAAAAAGCAACTTCAAGCAATGACTTCAAATATGGAAAAGGTCAAGTTCATTGCCAGCTGCCAGATTTCTCTAAAGTTGCTCTCAAAATGAAAATCCCTAAAAATCACATAATGAATAAGTCACTTACAATGACTAAGCCAGCCAGTTTTTCTCCTAAATTGAGAAACAAATCAGCAATCATGCAAGATATTTTAGAAACCATGTTTAGGTCAAAGTATGTTGAAAAACAACATCTGGAGCAGAAAAGGGAAAGTACAAAACCTTCACAACAAATGCAGGTAAATGAAAAGAGTCTCCTGTAAATATATACTGGGACTACTGGTCATCTCTGTCAGGGTGGGTTTTTGGAGGGTGAGTGGGGCTTAGTTCTGGTTCTGAGGTCTCATTCAGCTCCCTGGGACCATGGGGGCGAGGGACTTGACCTTTCAGAAGCTCAGTGATATTCTCATGAGAAGAATCATGGGCCAAATATACAACAGCATACAAGAGGGTGAAATCCAAATTCCTCAAGCCGGGGCATCCCCTTTAGTATCTTACTTCGTTCTAACCTTCTAAACTCAGCTTCATTACCTGGCCAGCCTAAACCTCTTCTAAGCCTCTGAATTCTCTGAGCCTCCTACCTTCCATGAAGCATCCCATCTCCACTTGCCAAAGACCTGCTCCTTTCATGGCTTCCTTCAATTTCCCCTGGACCATGTAAATTTTCAAATCTGCAAAATCACAATTATTTCTGTCCTTTGCTTATTTAGTACTTTTGTCAGAGCTTTTATCTCAGCCTGATTTGGATCAAAATAATTTAGAGGTAACTGTTTCTCCCACTCAAGTTTAAGACTCCAGAGGGCAGCAACATTATCTTCTTCTTTCCATTGTCTAATTTCCTTACAAACTTTGTCTAACAAACCATACAAACTGTTACATTGGTAACCACTTAATACAAAACGTTGTTAATGCTTAATCTATGCCTTTTCCCACTGCCCCACATCCCATCTTCTCATCCCTTACCCAACTTTCCAATGTGATGAGGCTGAGGATCTCATCATTTGAGGGAGAATAAATAGTAAGGCAAATTCACATTAATAATTAAAGTAGGCTGGGTGCTGAGGCATCTACTGTAATCCCCGTTACCCGAGAGGCTGAGGCAGGAGGATCACAAGTTCAAGGCTAACCTTGGAAAGTTAGCAATACCCTGTCTCAAAATAAAAAATAAAAAGGATTATGGATATAGATAAGTGGTAGAGTGCTTGCCTTGCATGTGTGAGGCCCTAGATTCAATCCTTAGTACTGGGAGAAATAAAAAGATCAAAGTGAACATTTTAGTTCTTTTGTCACTTTGCCAGGACAGTATGGAATTTCTTTTCAGCCTTTTATGAAGGGCATCCTGGACTGAATAGCAATGTCTGCCTGTTTCAATTTCCATCCCTCATTTAACCCAGCACTGGGAAATTTGAACCGGAACCTCCCGACACAACCTGGAGCCAGCAGCCAACCTGGTGGTGACAGCAATGCTTCCCTAAGTCTTGGAGAAATCTATACCTTTATGGTATTGGGAAGTTTCAAGGTTACTTGTTCTTTTTTTTTTTTAATTGGTGCATTATACTATACATAATATACTATACATAATACATAATATACATAATATAATATACATAATATACATAATATAATATACATAATATATAATATAATATAATATATATAATATATAATATATATTATATATAAATATATAATATATAATATATATTATAATATATAATATAATATAATATACATAATAGTGGGATTCATTTGTACATTCACATAATTTGATTGATCTCATTCCCCAGTACTTTCCTTTTTCCTTCCTCCTCCCTCCCCCAATCTTCTTGCTCTACTTTACTGATCTTTCCTTTGTTATTATTTGAATTAGTGCATTATAATTATATAGCTAAGGTGGGATTCATTATAGTATGTTTATAGTGGATATAGCATAATTTGGTAGATTTTGTTCCCTAGTATTTCCTCTTACCATACTTTCCACCCCCCGCTTCTAACCCCTTCCTCTACTCTACTGGTCTCCCTTCTGTTTTTGTGAGATCCTATTTATTTATTTATTTTTGCTCCCCCCCCCACACTAGTTTCCACATATAAGAGAAGACATTCAACCCTCGACTTTCTGAGTAGAGATTAGTCACTTAGTTCCATCCATTTACCAGTAAATGCCATGATTTCATTCTTCTTTATGGCTGAGTAAAACTCCATTATGTATATATACCACAGTTTTATCCATTCCTCTATTGATGGACATCTGGGCTTGTTCCATAACTTGCCTATTGTGAATTGTGCTGCTATAAACATGTGTAGGCATGTGTCACTATAGTATGCTGATTTTACTTCTTTTGAATAAAAAATACAAAGGAGTGGAATAGCTGGGTCATATGGTAGTTCCACTCCTAGTCTTTTGAGGAATTGCCACACTGCTTTCCAAAGTGGTTGTACTCATTTTCAGCCCCACCAACAAAATATAATTGTACGATTTTTCCCGCACATCCTTGCCAGCAATTGTTATTTGTATTCTTGATGATTGCCATTCTAAATGGAGTGGGATGAAATTTCAAGGTAGATTAATTTGCATTTCTCAGGGTTCCTGTTCTACTAGGAGGATAACATTAATATTGTTCCCAGTTCTCAGTCTCCTGTGTTAGTAGAAGGAGAATGGATATCAGGCTCATCTCTCTCTGGCAATGGTAGTTTGAGATCAGGCATCTGTTTTTTTTTTTTTTTTTTGTTGTTTGTTTGTTTGTTTGTTTTCCCAGCCTGTCAATTCAAGATAGAGAACTGAATGCTATAGGTTTCACATCCAGCCTATATTGGAGATATTCCTAATGACCACAGCCTACTTTTACCACTGCCATTTCATTCTCTGGCCTCTGTGTATTTCTGAGCTTTATGCTGGGAGCAATGGGAAGACCCTCAAGGTGATTCATTGTGGGATTAAAACAGTTAGCCTGTGGTGAGCATAAAACAACCACTATCTTGACACATATTTTGGAGTGCATGGCACATTATAATTCCTAGAACATGTTTGGTGTTAGCGAAAGGACCTCAACAGAGCTGCTAGAAAGATCAACAATGGTTCCTGAGTCATGGAGCTTACAGTATAATTTTAGGAGAAATGTTTGGGTATTCCACCTTCTGGTATCAAACATGATCATAATGATAGCTAAGATGTATTGCTGATATTATGGTAAATATTTAACATTTAATTCTCATAGTAGATTCTATTACTATCTCCATTTCACCACCACGAAATTTGATGCTTACAGTGATGAGGCAATTGCTTGTGTCACCCAGCAAATTAGTGTCATAGTGGAATCCAACCCAAGCACCATGGACCCAGCTCTTGACCACAGAACTGGGCTGCCTCCATGATGACCAGAACACATCAGTTGTCCTGGAGGCAGCCCATTGATCATTCTGAATAATGGTGTAATTGGTCAATTGCAACAGTAATGTTTTCTTATTCTTTAACTATGCAGATGGAGCCTACAGTACACAAACATCAAGACTTTCTTACAGGTATAGAGTTTTAAAACTTCTTTGATTTAGAGTTTCAAAGACTATGTTGAATAGAAATGGTGAAAGAGGGCATCCCTGTCTTGTTTCAGTTTTTAGGGGGAATGTTTTCAATTTTTCTCCATTTAGAATGATATTGGCCTTGGCTTAGCATAGATAGCTTTTACAATCTTGAGGTGTGTTTCTACTGTCCTTAGCTTTTCTAGTGTTTTGAACATAAAGAGGTGCTGTATCTTATCAAATGCTTTTTCTGCATCTATTGAGATGATCATATGATTTGATATGTGTTTTGAAAATTTCTAGAAGAGAATAGCAAGGCTGATTACTGCCACAGATTTTTGTTTTCAGTACTTAATAAGACGGAGATGATTTGAAACGCATGGATGCCAAAACTTGTTCTTTCTTATGTAGAAATAAAAACTGAGACACATTTGTTGAAGTTGTCATCCACCTCTCAGAAAGAGGCCTTCTCAAGTACTTACATATTTCAAAAGCTATCCCAAGGCAAGCAGATGTGTCAAAAGTTAAAAGAACAGACTGATCAACTGAAGACTAAGGTGATACTTTTAAAATTTATTATATAGGGGCCGGGCTGTAGCTCATTGATAAAGCGCTTGCTTTGCATGTGTGAGGCACTGGGTTCGATCCTCAGCACCACAGAGAAATTAATAAAGATACTGTGTGTTCATCTACATCTAAAAAATTTTTTAAAAACTTATTATTTAAACACTGGAGACCATACTATTAATGAAATATTATGTGTTTTTACTGCAGGTACAAGAATTTTCCAAAAAAATAAAACAAGACCCTTTCTGCCATTTGAAAGAAAAAAGAATGGTAATGAATTTGATTTAGTTTTTTAAAATCTTTATTAGAGAATTTGACATGGGTAAATACAAATGACTTCATGGTACCACCGTTTTCTCTAAAATGGTGGGAGTGGAATGTTCTGGTAGGAAATGTTTGGCTGAAGATTAAACTGTCTTAGTTTATGGGACTAAAAGAGTTTAGAATTCTGTTTCTATAAGAATTTAGCTCTCTTTCCTTTCCAGGGGATAGATACATCGCTTACCTCACTAGTCAACTCGTAAATCTGAGTTATGCTCAAGAGAAGAACATGGAAGCCATTATAAAGAGGGTGCCTGTCCTAGTTGATGGGTCCTGGTGGATTTAGGTTATAAAAATTGCTAGTATCTGGCAACTCAACATTTAAGACTTTGAAAACTTAAGATCAAACTTGAGGCAATGCTTTTCAGGTCAAAATCTTTTACTTTCACACCCTTGCTTGTTGTTATATTTAATCACTCATTTATGTTGTCACTCTAACAGCCTTGTTATCAGTGACAGGGTTATGGGAAACGTGTGGACAATGAAGCAACAGGCCGAGGCTGGGAGAACCATAGATGGGCTGAAGTGGAAGATGTAGTTCAGGTCATCGAGTCAGCAGCAAGGCAGGTAGTGGGGAGTCCTGATGTGTGCACAAGCAAGATCCAGGGCGGGCTGTGCTGTAGAAACCTAAAAGTATGGGCCAAACCCAGGAGAACCCAGATGCTAAAAGATACCATGGATTATCCATTTACTCATCATATTAATTAAATCATTCATTCCTTCAAAAACCATGCACCAGGCCTCAGGGATTTGGAAATGAAGAAATTCTTCCTTTTCAAATGGCTTATAGTCTCCTACAAACAGGATGGTGAACAGATTGTTAAAATGCATCTTAAGAAAGGTTATAGATGATTCTCATGACAGCCTAGGAGAAGCTCCTCCTGGCTATTGAATGCTTTGGAAAGCTTCCTGGAAGTGACTTTTAACTTGGTGTATCTCAAGAGGAATAAGGGTGAGTTCAGCAGAATAGGAGGCAGAGAAGTCTTCTGGAAGAAAGGAAACCACAGATTCAATAGTGTGAGGGCAAAACCTGCCTCTCATGTAATTTGTCAGATGGAGCTCAGTACATCATGAAAGGCCTTTAAGTAATGCTAAGGAGCTTAGATTTTTTTCCCTGAGTTTGAGTGATGGGGCAACATGGAAGGATTTAAAATTGAGAAATGGCAAGCACCAAGCACTATGGTAGGCATAGACCCAATGCAGGACGAGTTTGAGAACTTGAAGGCTGGTGTGAGGAAGATGAAGAGGGAGACAAATCTATGTGTTTAAGGTAGTGGTGGCAGATTAAAGGAGTGAATAAAGAAAAGTAGGAGGCTTGGATGAATTCCAGATTTCTGGCTTGGGTGACACAAAGGTCAGGAACAAAAGTGGAAGATCCAGTTCAGAAGGGGTGTGGAAGGCAGGCAGAAGGCAAGATGTCAAGTATAATTTGGACACCTTTGAGTATGAAGTCCCTAGGGACATTCAAATGAGGATGTCCAGTAGGCCCTTAGTGTGATGGGTCTGGCCCTCAGAAGCATTTGGGCCAGAAATGTAGATTTGGCATAGCCGTGAGTTGAAGCTATGGAGGGATTGAGGTTGTCCAGGTCAAGTGGGAAGTGGAGAGGGTCAAGGAGAGAGTCACTGGTCAGCAGCAAGCAGAGGGCAGGGGAAAAAAAAAAAAAACAGAGAGGCCCAAAAAGGAGACTGAAGAGGAAAGACCCAAAAGATCAGGAGCAGATCTGAAGAGGAAGAGCTATTGAAGCCCCAGGAAGGAGGTTTTTAAGAAGTAAGGAGTTAGGGCTGGGGTTGTAGCTCAGAAGTAAAGCTTGCCTAGCATGGGTGAAGAACTGGGTTTGATCCTCAGCATCACATAAAAATAAGTAAATAAAACAAAGGCATTGTGTCCATCTACAAAAAAAAAATGTAGGAAATTGGGCCACACCATTCAAGGAACAAAGGAAAATAAGATGTATATTGGTCAGTGGCAGATCACTTGCCTAGCATGTGCAAAGTCCTGGGTTCAATCCTCATCACTACAAAATAAAAAGAAAGACAAGTTGAAAAATCGTCTATTAAAAAAAAAGTGCATTGGACTTGGCAAGCCTGGTTTCACTGAGGTGGTGGATGGGAAGGCAAATTGCAGAGGCTAAGGATTAAATGAGAGATAAAGGAGATCTCTCAAAGGCGAGAGTTTGGGGAGCTTGCAGGACACAGAATTTTAGAGGGCAGAACAAAGCAGAACTGGTTTAAGGCAATAGCCTTCAGAGGCCTCAAGTCAGAAAGATCCTTCTGATGGTAGAGGGTAAGTAGAAATTCCTGCTGAGACAGGGAGAACAGAAAACTAGCTCCTGAAAGTTTCAGCCTGTGGTCTGAGCGTTCCAGGCCCATTTGGATCAGTGTTGGAAGAAGGCCAGACAGGGTGGAACCAACCTTCTCAACTTGAGCAGCACAATAATGGGAAGCATTTGGATTTTGGAGCAGACATCCTAGTTCTACTTATTGGTTATACAGCTTAGACATGTTGTGGCACGTCTCCCATCTCAGAATTGTTCTGAGAATGAAAAGAGATACAGTTATGTCTAGAAAACTGTGCCCTATCTTCTGGAATATAACATGATTTATAACTCCAAGATCCTAAATTAGAATTAATACTTGGCTTTCTTTTCTTCTCATCCTCTGGCCTTTGAATACTTGATTTCCTCTCATGGCTTTAATTGCCATTTATTTGCATGCTACAAATTCCTAAACCACTGTTCCTAGCTTTTTTTTTTTTAATATTTTTAGTTGTAGGTGGACACAATGCCTTTATTTTATTTATTTATTTTCATGTGGTGCTGTGGATTGAACCCAGTGCCTCATACCTGCCAGGCAAGTGCTCTACCACTGAGCCACAACCCCAGCCCCTAGCTTTTCATCTATAGTTCCAGCACCGGTGCGTGTCTTCCTGGGTCTCCTGCTCTCCCTGCAACTCTAGTTCAGCCTTGATATCTTCACTCAAACTTGCTAGCCTTCTCCAATTCCTCATTTTACTCAAATCTATTACATTCTTTCCACCTCCCAACCCAGAAACTCTCTAGTTTGTTAGATTCTTAGTACCAGGATCTCTTCCTGGCAGGGAATAGATGGCTGGCTCAAATGGGGTAACCGAGGAGAGTTTAATAAAGGCATTCTTTTACAACAGTGTAAGATTAAGGAAAACCAATAAAGGATGAGAAAGCCTCTCATGGAAGGAATGTGGGGAGCTGCTTCACCTGCAGGCTTAAAGGAGCAGAGGAAAACCAGGCACCGGAGCCTACAGGGAGAGCTGTAGCTGTAGGAATAGTGGACAAGCTCTGTGGCTTTTGATAGACTGACATTAGCCAATCTATGCAGGAAGAAAGAAATCAGGGAAATAATGACTCTCACTCCTACCTCATTGTCTCCAACTCCTCTCTCCTCCTGCTGCCAACTGTTGGCTGGAAACAACTGAAGCCAGGGTAGAAAAGAGCCTGTTGATACAGTTGACTCAAAGTTAGCCCCTGACTGGGGCACAGAGAAAGAGAGAGGATGAATACAGGGAGGAAACGGAAAACAGCCACCAAACTTGCCATTTTCAACCCTATGGCCAATATGTTTCTAAACTCTTGTCTATTTGTTAATATTAACAAGAATGCATAATAGTAGCAGCTATTACTTTTGTATATGTATAGATAGTACCTGACTTAGGATGGTTTAACAATATTTCAATTTTATGATGATGCCAGGTAATACCCATTCAGTAGAAATCATGCTTTGGATTTTGAGTCTGAATCTTTCCATGGCTAGGGACATGCAGTAAGGATACTCTCTCAGATGCTGGGCAGTGAGAGCCAGCCACACAGCTCTGAGTTAGCCTACAATCATGAGAGTAGACAGCCAATACTGTACAGTGGTCTGTGTTCAACAAATCACATGAGCTATTCAACACTTTCCTTATAAAATAGATTTTTGTGTTAGGTGATTTGTCCCAACTGTAGGCCGATGCAAGATTCTGAGCACATTTAAGGTAGGCTGGGCCAGACTATGATGTAATGAATGCTTTTCTACATGTGATATTTTCGATTTTAAATTTACAATGACTTTTTCAGGATGTAGCCCCATTGTGAGCAGTGGAACACTGGTACTGTGCTCCTAGCATGGTTATCTTATTTAATTTTCAGAAGATGGGAGCTATTATATTAATTTTACAGATGAAAAATTGAAGTTTCAAGAGTTTGAGTTATCTCAAATAATTCAATTAGTAAGGGACAAAGTCTGAACTTGAACCCTGTTTTGTCTGCATTGTAACCTCATTGTGCAATATTCCCACCCTTGGCAACATAGCTTCAATTCCTCCTTTAATCTCCATTTTCATGAATACTGCCTAGTCTAGGCTTCCCTGAGCATCCTTTAAATCTGACTTCAAACTTACTTCCTCCATTGTGTCTTGGAGTCAAATACACAGTCTCTCTTTTCAACAGAATAAAATCATTTAGACTAGGACTGTTCCTGAGATAGTTTTTTAATCTCATGCCTCAGGCCCAGGGTCAGACATAAGCAGGACTCAGGGAATGTTTAGCACCTGAGGATTTGGGTCAGAAGCCTCTACATATCTTCAAGAGAGGATCCTGACCTGAAGAGTTTAAACATTCATTTATACAAAGCAGCCCGAGGTGACTTCTGCAAGACCCACCCACTTTTCTGGCTAAATTTTGCTATTCCTTCCCCATCTTACCCTCCAGCTGCCATAGACTGAAACCCAGGACCTTTAACTTCAGATCCTTTTTAAGATCTATGTGACTTCAGACATAATTTCTAGAGCTCCTGTTTTCTTCCTCTACAAAACCAGGATAATGAAGTCTCCTTTGCAAATTCACAACATTGATGTGAAGATTAAACAAGATAAAGTGCTCTATAAGTAAAAGTCATTCTGCAAAATACAGGATAATGAATATGCCATTTAGGAGTTCAGAGGCCTCCAAGCGGGTTCCGAGGGAGAAATCAGAAATGACTGTATTTTTCAGCCATGTGCTGTGAGGGGGTTGCGAGTGCCAAGATGACTCTTGGGTTGTCTATATTTTAGATGTCAGATTCTGACACTACTGTAGGGTCACCTACTCTGCGTTTTTGGGAAAACAACTACACACACAGCTTACATGTGGATGATTCCAATGACTTCACTTGCTACAGGTCCTGAAGAAACTTCAGGAACACCTTGAAGTGCTGGAACAGGAGTTGCTGGCCTCCAAGGAAAAACATTTGGGCTTGCAGCAGCAAATCCACAAGCATGAATGCCCAACTGTAGATGACTTTGATCCCAACAGGTCAGGTTCACACCTACCGTGCAAGGTTCATGGGCCCAAGGTGGCCTCTTTCACGTGGGATTCTGAAGTAGCCACTGGCTTAGTATGTGGAGAGCCACTGGTCTAGAGTCAGCAAAAACTGTGTCACCAAAGGGAAAAAAGTGACCATTCTCTCTTGTCACAAGTAGCATGGATCATCTGTGATGTGTAAGGTGCTATGCTGGGCATCGATCCCAAATGACCAGTTGTCTCCTGGGACAGAGATACTATGCCACAACTTTATATTCTGTTGGAGGTTATTTTAATTGGTTCTGAGACTCAGAGGAGCACAAGAAAATATCAGAAGAACTCATGTGCTCATGACAGAGGGCCTTCTCCTCTCCTGTCCTCCTCAGCTCTTTCCTAGTTCTCTCTGCTTCTAACTTTGCTATCCCTGGCTGGTTCTTACCTACTGTCCATTTTTTACTCCTTCCTTTTCCATCCACTGACAGTTCTGAAGGGCGGTGGCAGGAGAGGATCATTGGAAAGTCGATTTGCGCGGAGGTGAAGGACCTTCAAAATCCTGATAACGGAAAACAATTCCTGAGTTAATTCACATTAGAAACTTGGACGCACACTCCTCTTGAAGTTTCCAATTGGCCATTTTTATGGAATCATTCTCTTCTCGCTTCACTCCAAACAATTTTAAGATCCATTCCAGAACTCCAGGCTAAGATTGTTTCTATTTAATTTCCTGGTACAAATTAAAAGAAACCATTGAGTAATATTTGTGAAGTTCAACTCTTTCTACTCACAGCATTTTAATGTGGAATCATTCTTGATGCCAAAATATTTTAATGATTTATGTTTCAGAACTAGCATCCTGAGATGTTTTTTCCCCCCTGAGGTACAATTTACTTTTTTTCAAAATGAATGGAACCTCTGTCTGCCTTTATTTCAATACTGTATAATTAAACAGCAGGGATGAGGTTTTAATATTGATTTTTTTTCCCCAATGGCTTTTTCTCCCTGGCGGGGGGGAACCATCTCTACATTCTTCTGCTTTTTTAAAAAACTAATAGAGTAAGTATATTTATTTTCAAGGAATCTCTTAGCTGTCATTTTCAAGACAGGCCTCTGTGTGCATTGAGACTGAAGTTATGCAATGCCTTATTTATATCCTAGTTGCAACCACACTGTGCCTGGCACAAGTATAAATCAAAAGGGTTTTAACTGCAATTATATCCCATATACGGGAAAAACTTTCAACACTGGGGAAAGGGAGGGACCCAGCCTCTCCCAAAACTCCCTTGGAGCCACCTCAGGACAAGCAAAGCTGATCAGCTCAAGACTGGTCCTCTTATTCTCACATAGACTAACGAGGCAATGGCAGAAGCCCATATAACCTTTAGGGTCTTGAAGTGTTGAGAACCTTCTAAGTGTTTGTCCAAAAACCGATATAGGTAGCTTTCTGTGGGGGCAAGAATTCTGCTGATTTATTGAGCAGTCACTTGTTTCCATCGACTGCTGTGCTCTTATTAAAAGCTTTTTATCACAGTGGTAAGGTATTCAAACCTCAGACCCCTCCCACATACACAAAAAGGTAATATACAGAATTATTTGTTTGGATCTCATTTCTCTTGTTCATCAGAATGCCCAATGGTTGTCTGATTCTTTCAAACATCAGAAGCCAAAACGAGTCAAGAAATGGGATTCTACTGCCAGGCACATGCCGGTAATCCCAGAAACTGGGAGGCTGGGTCAGGAAGATCGAAAGTTCGAGGTCAGCCTAGGCAACTTAGCAAGACCTTGTCTCAAAAGAAAGAAAGAAAGGGAGGGAGGGAGAGTGCCCCTGGGTTCAATCTACAGTACTGCCCCCACCCAAAAGAAGGAAGAAAAAGAAATGGGGATCTACCTCCATCATCTCTGATATTCTCAGCATCAATCTTGTCCTTTGCTTTACAGGAAAAATCATGAATTCCCTCAAAAATGTCTCTTATCTATCTCCAAATCTCCATGCTGACACCTCTTTTTTCTTCCTTCCTTCACCCTCCAACCTCCTTGAGCCCCGCCTCCTTTTGGACTGCCATGAAGCTTGCTGGGTCATTTCACTCCTTTTTTGTAAATCAGCAGCCTCTAAGTGTCCTCTGCTGCATTCTCTTCTGCCTTCTACGTTATAAATATTCTCCAATCTTATTCAACTATCACTTTAGCATTTCTTTGTCCTGCCATTTATCAAAAACAGCAGCCTTTCTCCACTAGTTGAAAAAGACATTTTAAAAAATGTATTAATTTCTTTTCAGTACTAAGAACTGCATATGCTAGGCAAGTGCTTTACCCCTGAGGTACATCCCAGCCTTTTAAAATTTTTTGTCTTGATACAAAGTCTTACTAAATTGCCTAGGCTGGCCTTCAACTTGCAATCTTCCTGCCTCAGCCTCCTGAATAGTTGGGATTATAGATGTGCACCGCTGTGCCCAATGGCAAAAGACGTTTTATCAAATACAAAATCTCTGCATGTAGTTGTGACATTTTTCTATTTCATTCTACTGATCTGTTTCTGTCTCTATATTAACCAAATGTTTTTTTTTAATATTTTCAGTTGTAGGTGGACACAATACCTTTACTTTATTTTTATGTGGTGCTGAGGATTGAACCCAGTGCCTCACAAGTGCAAGGCAAGAGCTCCACCACTGAGCTACAACCAGTCCTGCACTTCTGTTCTTAGCATTTTGTTGATTTTTACTTGGTTGTCTTCATTTATAAGGTATGACATTGTAGCATCTGAAAGCAATGACAGGCTTTTCCTCCCTAAATATTTATATACTTTATTTCTCTTTTTCCTTCCAGTTCTTATATATTTCTTTTTATTACTTTATTTCATTTGCTAGGTTTTCAAGAATAATATTGAATAATTAGTACTTGTGAAAGAACTTTTTTTGGGTGGGGGGTAACCAGGAATTGAACCCAGGAGCACTTAACCACTGAGCCACACCCCCAGCGTCTAAATTTTTTTTTTTTAAATATTTATTTGAGACAGGGTCTCACTAAGTTGCTGAGGCTGGTCTTTAATTTATGATCCTCCTGCCTCAGCCTCCTGAGTCACTGGGAGTCATCACACCCAGCTTCTTTCTTTTTCTTAATGTTATTTATGTTTCTCATTACTTTCCAGCAGTTTATTTTGCAGATTTTTTGGAAACAGAAATTTATTTTATTGATAAAATTTTAAAAATTCCTAGATGTACTTTCTTTTTCTGTCTTCCTGTTTTGAACACTTAGTTTATTGATTTTTTTCAACTTTTTCTTCTAATAATGCATCTTTAAGACTCTAAGCCTGTGGCATATCTTGGAACATAGCATACACAAGGTCCTGGACTCAATCCCCAGCACCAAAACAAAACAATCCAGAATGAAAAAGAAACATACCAACCCCCCCTCCCCCAACTCAACTAAACTGGGTGTAGTGGTTTAAGTCTGGAGTTCCAGCTCCTCAAGAGGTTAAGGCAAGAGTATCACTTGAGCCCAGGAATTTGGGACCAGCCTGAGCAACACAGAAAACTTGTCTCTTAGAAAAAAAAAAAAGTATAAATTTTCCTCAAACTACTGCTTTAACTGCATTGGATTGATTTTCATATGTTTTTCTCTCAAATTTCATCTGCTAATAAATTATTCCTCACTCCCATTTCTATTTTATATTTAACCCAAAATTATTTAGATGAAAATTGGGTAAAATCTATATTTTAAAATATACGTGCATGTAATCATAACGAGCTTATTCATTAAATTATTCTCATACTTTTATGCTCCTCCTCTCTTTTAATTGGCATAATGATTATTTCCATGGCATTGCAACTCTTAGAACTGTCAGGGATCCTGGTGTCATCAGATCCAGAAAAGCAAGGTAGAGCTGAGATACTGGAAGCTCAGAAAGATGAAATGATTTACCAAAGGATAGACAGCTAATAGACAGCAAATAAGGCTCAGAGCCCAGGACTTTGGAGTGAAACTCTAAACAGAATGCATCAGGGCAGAGGTCCCTTATCCTTTCCGTCTATAGATAGGCCACATTAAAAATGTAGATCAGTGCCCTTTTCAATTACTGTTGTCACCAGTTAGGAGGCTGAGAACGTAGCCCAGGAGGTGCCTGTTTATGTTTACCCAGAAAAGTGGAAGGTAAAATCTTCAAGTTGGAGGTGCTACTTGAAGATGTTAGAGAGAAAATTGACGAAAGCAAATGTACTTCAGCACTCTGTCTTCCTGTGAGCTCTCCAATCTTCCTGGATGACTTGGCATCCACAGCCTCTTCGTCCTCAAATGAGGTCATGCAGCAACCTACAGCCTAATTTTGTGCCAGGAAAAATGGTTTTTATGCATGTTTGGACTCCTAACTCATGGATTCACTGGATTCTATTTTAATATTTAATGAAAACTGAACTTTCCAAAGCCCTAAGAATCATAATATTTAAAATGGTACCAGCTTTTAGAAATTGGATGCTATTTCAAGTGTTGGTCTTGAAACATCCCATTAATTTTGGATGCAACATTTCAGTGTGAACTGATGATCCACAGAATAGCTATTTCTTCTTGATAAATAGCAAAACTTGTGGATCGTGCCTGGGAACATTTTTCTTTTCAATAGTTTTGTGCTCTTTCTTCTAAATAAAGACTAGCACACTCAGTGAAATAATTATTTCCTCTAAATCCACTTCTGCATTTTCCTTCTCTCAAGTTAAATTCTTTTGATTGTCTGCATATACCAGATTGGGAATTCAAATCAATCGCCACTATCTTTCTACGGCTTTTTTGCCTCAACTGTCAGAACATCTCAGACTAAATTAAAATTTGAAAAAATGGAATCATCTAAATAATTGCCTTAAGTCGACTCTGGTGTCATTCAGTATTTGAAGACACAACCCCAGGGCTGATATTCAAAATTCAAATGAGGTTTTTGTCCGAGCTAAGGACAAGAATGAGAGGATTTATATAAATATTAGCCTTCCAAAGAAGTGTGTTCACCACCTCAGAACGCTTTGCTGCCTGACAAAACCTCATTCCCTCAGGCCCAACTTTGGACACAGGTAATTTCTGCATCCTGGATACTCAGCCCCCCATCTCAGGCAGAATTCTTTGCCTGGGGTGGTGTGAGGGAGCCTAAGGGTTCTTCTAGCCATCCGGCAGCAGCTGCCTCAGGCCTGGATTCACTCTGCTTTACTAGGTCCCAAGTTTACAGCAACTGTTGTAAAATGAAGAAAACTCCACACTTTGTAATGATCAGTACTGAAGAAAGCATCTACTGCTGGTATTTATTATTCATTCATTCATTTATCCATTCAGCAATATTTATTCCTATATACTAGGCACTTTTTTTCCTTCTTATTGGTGCATTATAATTATACATAACAATGGGATTTGTTATAATATATTCATACGTGCACACAATAAAACAGTATCATTTGATCGATTTCATTCCCCAGTACCCCCCCTTTCCCCTCCCCCTGATTCCCTTCTTCTATTCTACCGGTCTCCCTTCTATTTTTTTCTTTTTAATTTGTTCTACTAGGCACTTTCCTAAGTATTTGGGATTCAACATAAACAAGGCAGACAAATCACCCCCTCCCTCAAGATGTTTGCACTTCTGGGAGAATTGAATAGGAGTACAGAATGTAAAAAGCACTATGCAGGAAGTGATAAAACACTCCCATGACTCTGAGGCCAAACTTCCTGGGTTCAAATACTGGCTGTGTTACTTATCAGCTTTGTGATCATGGGGAAGTTAGGCAACCTCCCTGTGTCTCAGTTCCCTCCTCTGAAAAATGGGATATCAATGCCTGTCTCACCGGGTTGTTATGATGTTTAAATGAGTTAGTACATGTAAAGTACTTAAACCAGTGCATTACTTCGGTGTTAGCTGTTGAGACTATTAAGTAATGGGACATGACCAAGGTAACTGTGAGAGGGCAGCATTACTAAGGGAGAGATAGTCAGAGGGAACATTTGAGTTGAGTCCTGGGATAAGGAGGCTACTTGGTGAGGAATCTGGGAAGGGACCCTTGGAGGCATATTATGGTGTCTTAGGAGTGATAATGGGGATTCTGACCTAATTTAGAGTCACATCTGAATTGGCCCTAAGGGCAATTCCTTCTGTGTGCTCCCAAGGAGCATTCTGGAGCCCTTTGGGCCCCCAGGGAAGTAAGGTGAATGGGGGTGGGGGTGAGGGTGGCGGTGGAGGTGTGGGGAGGTGGTTGCTGCAGGCCCCAAGCCAGGAGCTCTGTGAGCTGGCAGTGCAGATGCAAATCCTCACCTGGTTTTGTGTGCGTGCACCCATTACTGGGAATTGAACCCAGAATTTCTCCCTTGCTAAGCTTCTGCTGTACCACTGAGCTACATCCCCAGTCCCCAGCTCTTGGACTAATTGGCAGGCTGGGTGTTAGGGCTGGTGATTGTGGCTCTTGCTAAGGGTTTCCCATTCTTCCAGCTCTCAGGAGAAACTTGATTGAGGTACCTGGACCTAAATGAGGGCTTCTTCAACTTCACTGTGTCTAGAAATCAACTGCAGATCTTGTTTTTTTTTTTTTTTTTTCTTTTCTTGGTTCTTTTGTGACACTTGACAGTAGAATTCATTTTGATACAATTGTCCAAGCATGGGATATATCTGATTCTAGTTAGGTCCCCATTCTTATGGATGTAAATGATGGGTGGGATTTGCCTGTTTTGGTGCCAATACCATGCTGTTTTTGTTGTTATAACTCTGTTGTATAATTTAAGATCTGGGATTGTGACGCTTTGCTTTTCTTGCTAAGGATTGCTTTGGCTAGTCTGGGTCTCTTATTTTTCCAGATGAATTTCATGACTGCTTTTTCTATTTCTATGGAGAACATGATTAGAATTTCGATGGGAATTGCTTTGAATCTGTATAGCACTTTTGGTAGTATGGCCGTTTTGATAATATTAATTCTGCCCTATCCAAGAACAACTGATGGTCTTTCCATCTTCTAAGGTCTTCTCTCTTTCTTTCTTTAATGTTCTGTAGTTTTTTTAAACATGGTGTCATTTTTAATACCTTTATTTAATTAATTTATTTATTTATTTTATGTGGTGCTGGGGATCAAACCCAGTGCAAGCTCTCTACCACTGAGCCACAACCCCAGCTCTCTTCTGTAGATTTAATTGCAGAAGTCCTTCACCTTTTTTGTTAGATTGATTCCCAAGTTTTTTTTTTGTTTGTTTTGTTTTTGAGGCTATTATGAATAGGTTGGTTTTCTTAATTTCTCTTTCAGCTGATTCATAGTATAGGAATGCAATTGATTTCTGGATGTTAATTTTGTATCCTGCTACTTGCTGAATTCATTTTTCAGAGTTTTCTGGTGAAGTTCTTGGGTCTTCTAAATATAAATCATGTCACTAGCAAACAGATAGTTTGAACTCTTCTTTTCCTATTGGAATCCCTTTAATTTCTTTCCTTTGCCTAATTGCTCTGGCTAGAATTTCAAGGACTAAGTTGAATAGAAGTGGTGAAAGTGGGCATCCTGTGTTCCTATTTTTAGAGGGAATGCTTTCAATTCTTTTCAGTTTAGAATGGTGTTAGCTTTGTGTTTGTTTGCAATGTTTAGGTATATTCCTTCTATCCCTATTTTTTCTAGTGTTTTAAACATGAATGAATGCTGTATTTTGCCAAATGCTTTTTCTGCATCTATTGAGACAATAATGTGATTCTTGTCTTTAAGTCTATTTATGTGATGAATTACATTTATTGATTTCTTTATGTTAAACCAACCTGGTATGCCTGGGATGAAACCTGCTTGATCATGGTATACTCTCTTTTTTAATGTATTTTTATGTGTGATTTGCCAATATTTTAATAAAATATTTTGCATCTATGTTCATCAAGTACGTCTTGTTAAATTGATTCAGTAGGTCTGGGTGATTTGCAATCCTGCATTTCTAACAAGCTCCCAAGTGATGCCAATGTTGCTGGTTTTGGTCTGGACACCACCTTTTAAAGAGTAGCAAAAATCCAAAGATTATTTCATTATGAATAAATTGGAAAAACTGGGATTAAAAGCCCAAGGGACCAAAATGATATCGATGTAATAACAAGCAGTGATAACCCTGTTGATTCAGAGCCTTACAATTTGCAAAAACTTTTTGCATAGGAGGAATAACTTAGAAAGGTGAAACTTGCCCAGGGCAAAAGATATTAAAGCCTCTATCTTCCAACTCAGTGGAAGGACACCTACTGCATTTTGCTAATGCAAATCTGTTTGAAATGTCAAGTGCAGGGGAACTCTGTAAACTTAGTAGTGATAAAAGAAAATATGGGGAACAGATCGGAGGGGGGGAAACCCTTCATTTTTAAGTTATAAATGTGATAAATATTTATTGCAAAAGAAATCAAAAAGTATAGAGACGTGTAAAGAAGAAAATTTTCCTTAGACAAGTTGTGGCTAATTTTTTAAGTAGTTTTTTTAAATTGTTGATGAACCTTTATTTTCTTTATTTACTTATATGCAGTGCTGAGAATTGAACCCAGTGCCTCACACATGCTAAGCAAGTGCTCTACCACTGAGCCACAACCCCCAGCCCTTGCTAATATTTTAGTATATTCATTTTAGTATATATCCTTCCAGTTTTCCCCTCTTTTTTAAAAACTTTATTATTTTTTTTTTTTATTTTTATGTGGTGATGAGGATAGAACCCAGTGCCTTACACATGCTAGGCAAGTGCTCTACCTCTGATACCTCTTGCGTATATATTTTTACAAAAATGAAATCTTACTATATGTATTGTTTTATGATCTACTTTTTTTCATTTAACATATTGTGGACATCTCTTCACGTCACTAAAGAATAAACCTACTTTTTTTTTTTCAATTGAATCCAGTGCCTTGAGCATGCTAGGCAAGCACTCTACCGCTGATCTATTTTTTCTGACTTTTACTTTTTGAGAGAGAGGGAGGATCTGGGGTTGCCCTAGCTGATCTCCAACTTTTCTTCCTGCCTAGCCTCCCAGGTAGCTGTGATTACAGGCATGCACTACCACGCTCAGCTCTATGGCTTCATTTTAATGAGCTTTTAAAATAATGTATATGCCTCCACCTCACCTATTGTATCAGCATCACCATGGGTGCATTTCACTATATGGATGTACCCTGATTTATTTAAACAATCTCATGGATGGACATTTAGTTTTTCCCCAGTTCTTTGATATTATAAACATGGTTTCAGGTAACATCATATTACGTGCAAACTTTTTTGTTGTTGTTGTCCATTATTTCCTGATAATAAAATCGTAGCATTGCAGTTAATGATTCAAACCATTGTGAAAAGTGGCTATTTGTAGCCTTCACTTTGCTAGTGCTTGGGAATATCAGGGTCTGTGACGTGAGCTCACCTCAATGTTTTCCTAAGCTTTGCTACAGTGGTAAGTGAAAATGGGTATCTTATTATACCAATGTATATTTTTAATACCAGAGATTGAACCCAGAGGCACTTAACCACTAAACCACATCCCAGCCCTTTCTACTTTATGTTTTATTTTGAGAAAGGGTCTCCCTAAATTGCTTAGGGCCTTACTAAATTGCTGAGGCTGCAATCCTCCTGCCTCAGTTGGGATTACAGGTGTGCACCACCAGGCCTGGCCTCAATCTGTTTTTTTAACTATTTGTGAAATTCAACCCATTTTCATCTGTTTCTTGGACATTTGTACCTCCTCTCTGACAATATCAAAAATTTTAACTTATGTTTGCAAAACAAATTACAGTCAAATTTTTAAAGACAGAAAAATGGGAATGTATGAAAAACAAAAGGATGTTCACTGTTCAAATTGGTATCCTATCAAGTGCTCTGACAAATGCACAGTTTAACAGAATTGGGGTTAAGAACACAAGCAAATGAGTCACACAATAAAGGTTCAATTCCAGCTCAGATACTCTCTATGTGATCTTGCCAAGTTGCTTAAATTCTCTGAGCCTCAAATTATTCATCATTAAATTGTCACAACATGCCAGGATGGTAAGTAATAAAGATTATCTGAGAAGCACTGGCACATAATGAACAATCAACAAATACCGCAGTTGTTTCTATCAATAAAAAAATAATGAAGCCCTCCCAAAAAATCAGTGGGCAAAAGATATGAACTGAAAAGCCACAAGCAGGAAATGCAACCAATAAATAAGCATGTGGGGAAATGCTCATCTTCTTTGCCCCCCGCTTAAATTAATGAAAACATTTTCAAGAGATAAATCCTGGTACTGAGAAAGGTGTGGTCCAACTGGGCCATCCACATTGTTGGTGGCTGTGTAATCCATGAACCTTTTGTGGAAAGCAGTTCAGCAAAATGTATCATCACACAAACATGTTCGCAACCTTTGGCCCAAATGTTTCCTCGGGAAGTAATTCAAAATGTGGAAAAAGATATGTGTATAATAATGCTTATGCAAGCATCCTTTGTAATGGTGGAAAAAAAATACATTGATTTCTGTTTACACAAAGGATAAGGCCATAGTCAAAAATACACAGTGGCTGGTGTTAGCCCTTTCTGTTCAGTAGTGCAATTGTTTTGTGTTAAAAAGTGATATATAGGGCTAAGGCTGTGGCTCAGTGGTAGCCTCACACTTGCCTGAATGTGTGAGGCACTGGGTTCGATCCTCAGCACCACATATGAGTAAGTAAAAAAATAAAGGTCCATTGACAACTAAAAAAAATTTTTTTAAAAAAAAGTGATGTATAAGCTGGGTACTGTGGCACACGCCTGTAATCCTAGGACCTCAGGAGGTTGAGGAAGGAGGATAGTGAGTTCAAAGCCAGCCTCAGCAAAAGCAAGGTGCTAAGCAACTCAGTGAGACCCTGTCTCTAAATAAAATACAAAATAGGGCTGGGGATGTGGCTCAGTGTTTGGGTGCTCCTGAGTTCAATCCCTGGTAACACCCAACCCCAAAAAAGCGATGTATAGGGCTGGGGTAGTGGCTCAGTGGTAGAGCACTTGCCTAGCATGCATGAGGCACTGGGTTCAATCCCCAGCACCATATAAATAAACAACAACAACAAAAAAGATATTGTATCTATCTACAACAAAAAAGTGATGTATAGGGCTGGGGATGTAACTCAGTGGTAGAGTGTTTGCCTAGCAGCCTAGCATCCTAGCATGTGCGAGGCCCTGGGTTAGATCCAAGCACCCACCCCCATAAAAAAAAAAGTTAAGATATAGAAGACATAAAATCAATCATTTAGGGCTCTGAACAGTCCCTAAACCCTTTTTTGTTTTAATTCATAGTTAAATGGATTTCTTTGAAGAAGCTTTTAGAGCTCTACTAACCTGTGATCAGATTGATAAGATTTTAAAATTACCTTCCAGGCTGGGTGTGGCTCAGTGATAGTGTGCTTGCCTGGCCTGCACCCTGGGTTCCATCCCCAGCGCTGCAAAAATAAAATTATCTTCCAAAATTCTTTCATTCTCTAGTAGAGGGTGAGATAATTTGAAACAAAGGAGGGGGAAAAAAAAGGCATCTGTATCCTAGATTTAAAACCTGTTTTAAAGAAGAGAAGCCCAGCCAGGGTAGAGCTTCCGTTCTCAAAAACCCTGGCCTTCAGAGGCTCAGACCACACTGACAGACATCAGAATTAAGGATGGGCTCTTTTTTCCTTCCTGATCTCCTTGGGCCTCTGCTTCTCAGTCTGTACAGTGATGTGTGTGCGAATGTCTCCCATCCTGATGTGGCAAGTTCAGCTGGGTCTGAGCAGCAGACTGGGCTGGGCTGCAGTCCCCGGCGGTGGGGTGAGTCACATCCTCCCTCATACCACATCTGTGTGTGTTTTGTGGTGCAGGAGGACCCCAGCAGCACCCGGGGAAGGCAGAAACGTGCAGAGATGATGACATCCAGTCCAAGCTGTGCCTTCTGCAGCCGGCTCCTTGAATGGTGAGGGCTTCCTGCTGCTACTTTCCCAGGATGGGTTGGAGGTGTTCCTGGCACAATAACTCCAGTAACAGTGGGTGACAGCTTACTGAATCTGTTACTGGCATCCTAGGCCAGAGGTCTGACTTCGGGGTCCCAACTAACCAGGTCAGGTCTTGTTACTCATCCCTCAAAACTGAGAAAAGGTTATAGTGGAAAGCAGGAAAAGTAACTTTATCAATACTGCCATGTTGGCAAGGTAAAGCAAGATCCAGTGTCTCAGCACTGCCTTCGAGGTGCTGACAGGGGCTTTAGGTTTAAATAGAGGAAGAACTAGGGCAGTGGGTGAGAGGTCTGCTTAATTAAGCAATCTTGGCCAAACTGTGGTCTGGTTGATCATTCCACCTCACTTCTCTGTGAAGTGGCTCCAGAGAAGTCTTTATCACTCAAGGGGGACATTTCCACTTGTTGCTCAGAATGTTTATGAGACCCGTGATCCTGGATGGGGGCAAAGATAGGAGACTTCCAGATACTGCTTCAGGGGTCTGAAACAGGATGCTGCAAATCTCCCTGCAAATCTGGCCTCAGTCTTGAAGGGGGGGACAAGATAGGTTAGGTAAATTTAGGGTTAAGAAACCTTGTATTACTAGATTTTGGATGGGCACTCGTTAAGTAATTAACATGCCTATGTATAGAGCCGAGCAGGGACCTGACTCAAAGTTTTAGATAGCAAAGGAGATAGATGCAGAATAAAGGCAGAAAGGCCAGGCTTGATCCTGCTTTTAGTTACCCACAGGGCAGCTGCAGATCTAGGTAAAGAGTTACTGCTTTTAGCAAAGGTATTCTTTCTAAGTCCCTGTTACAAAGTCACTGGCCAGTTAGTTATAGAAGCAGGGATCTCAGGGCTGGGCACCTTACAAATCCTCTAGCAGTGGCTCTTTACCCAGAGAACATCTACATACCTGGAGAGTTTCTAAAGTAATGCACATGCCCCTGCACACCCAGCCCCCATAGTCTCAACATCTCCAGGAGTGGAGCTCTGGTACGCACAGCATGTTCAAATCTCCCTAGGTGATTCTGATAAGGCACCCTTGGTGAAGAATCAGAGCTACAGAACAAGAAGGGTGGTCCTGAGGACTATTGGAACATTGCCATATGGGAGATCATTCCCCACATAGACAAGCTCCCTTTCACTGCTCTCTTTATAAGCAAAAGTCTTCCTTGTAGGGTCCCACCTGTGTCCCCACCACCACATCCCAGGCTACTGGAAGCAAGCCACTTTTCTCAGGCTGACTTCTTTCCATTCCTAAGCGAGAATTCTTCCAGAGCTAACAAGCTGGAAATCATGTAAAATCCTAAGGAGAAATCCTTGTGGTAGAGCACTTGCCTAGCATATGCAAGGCCCTGGGTTGCATCCCTAGCACTGCAAAACAAAAACCCAAACAAAACTAAGGAGAGGTCTTTATGGTTTAAACATCAATTGTATCGATCACAAACAAGGCTTCTGTCATTTGTAGTGTCTCTATGAGTTAGTGACGGGTGCCACTTCCCAGCTCACTATCACTCAGCCCAAGCTTAGCTAATTTACCTTTGAAAGGTCAAGAGTTAAGGAGGGAGCGGCTATTAAGCAACAACTATTACAAGTGCATAATGAACTCTAATAGAAGCAGGTGACAAGGTCTGAAAGACTGAAGTTTCCTGTTAGAAAGCATTGCACCACGGGAATGGGCACTTGTCATGAGTATTTCATTGAGTTTCCAAACCTAAAAAAAGAAACAGCACGGAGTCTGTACTAAAAATTACCATGTGTCATCTGGTACAGACCATGACTCCAAACCACCATGCCACTCATCAGCTTTGAGTGCTCCTTTAAATATAAGGGACACTAATGAAGCTTGCTCACCAAGTCATCCCAAGCTTACTATTTTTGCTTGTTGAATCAAAGTCTGGATTTTTTTTATTTTTTAAAAGGTTTTAAGCATAATAAAAATATTTTGGCATTTAAAAAACATTTTGATTAGGCTTTCAAGGTACTAACTGTTTCCCTTCTGAGTTCTTCATCTAGATCCTACACAATCATGTAAATAACAAGACAGGAACCAATTTTCAGACTAAATGTGCTCTTTTATTTATAACGACAAGATAGAAAGAAAAGCACAAACAAATGTAAAATCAAACCCAGTGAATCCACTGCTGGGGAGTGATGAAGAGATAGGCATAACCTATGAAATGAAATCTTGGTAAATCATACAATACTCAGAGTTACTAATTGCAGGGAGCACTGTACACTCTTCGTTGTTAGATCACATTGCTCTATGATGGGATGTGTTCTTTATGAAGTTTGCTCACGTGCATACTATTTTCAGGGTATTTTTAACTTGTTACAAATGTGTAGATAAATATACACATTTTATTTCTCTATATACATATTATTCATCTAAATATAAATACCAATAAACGTAAAATGTATATCTCTTTATGTTATTTCTGGCGCAAAAAAATTTGGATTTAAGTTAGGCTGGAGGTGCTCATCTGTAATGTATAGGTTGAGGCAGGAGGATTGCTAGGAGGATGGCTATGATATCAGCAACATAGCAAGAGCCTGTCTCAAAAAATAAAAGGGGCTGGGGATGCAGCTCAGTGGTACAGTGCCGCTGGATTTAACAAAATACTTTAGTTACTTTATCTTGTTGAAAAACTGCCTTCTCCTGTGGAATTGTCCTTGGCCATTAGGTTTGACTAAAAGACTTCAGTGCACAAAGGAGTTTAAAAGAAGTAGAAAAAGTCATGTGTTAGACTGTGTTAGACTGCACTCACTTGAGTGAGATCCAGGTTTTCCACTTTGGAGAGCAGATGTTCAAATGCCCCACAGGCAGAGGGTGGAGAGAAAAAAATTAGGTGTGAGAAAATGTGTGACTCAGGAGGAGAGCATGTTTTCCAAGAGGAGGGAAGGGGCCTGGCTTCCCAGCCCAACCCCACCAGCCCCAGACCCAAGCCCTGTGTCCGCTCTACCAGCAGCCAGTCCAACACTCATGCCTTGGCTCAGCAACACCCGCACTTCCTACCCCAGGCCTGGACCTCCTGTTGTGCCAGGACACCTTGGCAAAAGGCCACATCAAGAATGAGCAACGTTCCCGTTCCCTGGGGACTACTACTATATCCCAGAGGCTGAGCAAGAGCTTTGTTTTTTTTTTTTTTTTTTTAATATTTATTTTTTAGTTTTTGGCGGACACAACATCTTTGTATGTGGTGCTGAGGATCGAACCCAGGGCGCACGCACGCCAGGCGAGCACGCTACCGCTTGAGCCACATCCCCAGCCATAGCAAGAGCTTTGTTAAAAACTGTTTTCTTTGGAGGAGTTAGTTAGAATTTCTTTGGAGGAGGGAGGCCCACACTACAGACAGGTCAGAGAAGTCTCCTGATAAATGCCAATTGTAGTTCCTTTTTTTCTGATGCCCCCTGGTGGCCTTATAAAACTAAAATGAACTCCACACTGCCACAGCCTTTAGCCCTACACACTGACAAATCCCACTTTGCTGGACTTCTTGGATACATTCAGCTTGTCCTTAAGAGCCAAAGCCATGTGACCCAGCGCTGAGGGATTGCATAGCTTCTTTCCCAGATAAGAATTGATTTTGAGGCATAACTATGAGGAAAACAATTTATACACTTCCATACTTCAATTTTCTATTTTGTATATGTGTGTATGATGATTAGGTATCATCCTTTATGGAACAAAATATTCATTTTTAATGTTTTGTAAATATATTATTATCAGACCAAATTGTGCTGGGTGCAATTTCTAAGAGGGAGGTTCCCAAACAGAAGGGCAGAGGGGACCTCTGTGTTGAGGATGACCTGCCTCTCCTACATTATTCCAGGCTCTGATATATTTAACATTTCAGTTTACTAGTACTTTTTCCTTTCTCTATGAGAAATAAACTAAAAGTTTCTGGGATATTATGCACCTTTTTTAGGAAGCAAAACATGGAGAAAAAAGGCCACAGACAGATCGACTGTGGAAGGCTTTCAGTTGTCATTCATGAAAAGGCACTGCGCCAACGTTCAACTCTCGGTGAGTGGAGGGGCTGCGGCTGTGGGTGCTCAATCTTTGGGGTTCTTCATTGTGGGGCATCTGGCCACAGCTTGCTGTCTGCCACTCAAATAACATTGCTCTGCACTAAGGTGTTGTATGTGTGTTTTTTTTTCCAAACTGTGAAGAATGATTGAGTAGATTTTTAAAAAGATGTGATTAACATGTTTATAGCAGCACAATTCACGATAGCCAAATATGAAACCAGTCTAAGTGTCCTTCCATGGATGAATGGATTTTAAAAATGTGGTATGTGTGCACAATGGAGTTTTATTCAAATATAAAGAAAAATGATAATCATGTATTTGCAGGAAAATGAATGGAACTTGAGAGCATTATGTTAAGCGAAATAAGTCAAACTCAGCAAAAGTTGTATGTTTTCTCTTGGATATGGAAGCTAGAGAGGAAAAAGGAAAAGGAAGGTGGAGGGGTGGGATCTCATGAAAATCAAAGGGAGATAGTGGGGCAGAAGAAAGGGACCAGGGAGAAGGAAGAGGAGAGGGAAAGGGAAATACTGGGGATTCATATTGGCCCAATTATATTGTTATATCATGTGCATGTATGAATATGAACAGCAAATCCCACATTATGTACAACTATAAGGCATCAGTAAAAAATGTGGAAAAAAAGATGTGGTTAAGTAGGATGAAGTGCCAACACCTATTTCTAGCTAGAGTCACAGAGGAATCTGGTCGATCTGTCCATCTTTTGCCCAGCATGACCCATAACTGTCCATGGGAAGGTTAACAGCATCACGGGGGTTGCTGCTGACTTGTTCAAACATATTTCATAGAAGCAAATAAAGTTTAGAACTGGCAGGAGACCCAGAGGGCACAAGTACATGGAATTCAATGATTTTAGTCTTAAGACCCTTTCTCCCAGGCTAGTTTAAGCAGAGAAGCATTCCCTGGCAGAACTGTCCTGGTGAATGAAGAAGCGGGGCCAGAGGCCTGCCTGCTCAGGCCACTCCTGAGCTTGAACGTCGCTGTTGGAGCCCAACTTGGAGGAAGCTGGAGGCCAGATGGCTGGTGTGACTGACTTGCAATCACACACCCTATTGCCAGAGCCTTGCCTTCAGCTCCGTATTGTTAGGTCACTTTCCGTTCTGATCTGGGCTCTCTGTGATGGTACATTTTTCAATTAAGAGGTCTCATGGATTAACACTTAATACCAGATGCTACAACAGAGTAGGGGTTTTCAAGCTGTGGTCAGAGGGCCTTTCAGAGAGGCCATGAGGTCCACCCCTTTTCCAGCAAGGCCAATATTGTAATAGGTTGATGGAGATACAGCTGTGGAATTCAGCTGCCTTCTATTAAGCCAGACCTTTAATTTGCCAAAATATAAAATAATAACACTCTTCTCATTTCTAAAACATTTGGAACATAGTTTATTTTTATTAAAAACATGTTATTTTCTTAACATAAGCCTATTATTTTATTTATTTATTTTTTAGAGATACAGTCTTGCTGTGTTACCCTGGCTGGCCTTGAACGGCTGGGCTCAGATGTCTTCCTGCCTCAGCCTCCCAAATAGCTGTGACTATAGGCACGAGCCACAGAGCTCTGCTTATTGTTATTTTTGGTGATGCTGAGCTACATCCTCAGCCCTTATTATTATCATTTTAAATTGTTCTTAGCTGTAGAAGGACACAATACTCTTATTTTATTTATTTATTTTTATGTGGTGCTGAGGATCAAACCCAGTACCTCACACATGCTAGGCAAGAGTTCTACCACTGAGCTACAACCTCAGCCCTAGTAGTCCTTATTATTATTATTATTTTGGGGGGCAGGTACTAGGGATTGAACTCAGGGTACTCAACCACTGAGCCACATCCCCAGCCCTGTATTTTATTTACAGACAGGGTCTCACTGAGTTGCTTTCCACATCCCTTTTGCAGAGGCTGGCTTTGAACTTGCGATTCTCCTGCCTCAGCTTCCCGAGCTGCTGGAATTACAGGCATGTGCCACCATACCTGGTCTTAGCCCTTATTATTTTTAAATGACACAATAAAATTTAAAAAATGTGTCAGTTTAAAATTCTTTTAAACAAAAACCCCAGAAGCGTCCATTCAGTCTTGGGAAATCTGAATACAGAAATTATTTGCAATTTATATATAAAGACATCTCTACCAATTCATCCTCAGTTGACTGAATGTTGTATGATAGCTCTTCTCCAAATCAGAAGGATATATTTAACTTCAGGTATATAAACTGGCATATATTATGTGGTAGATTTTTAAAAATCCCCACATAAACACATGTTGTATAGTGTCCTCAATTGTAAAAGTGTGAAAGATTCTGAAATCAAAAGTTTGAGAGCCATTGACATAGTGTCATTTAATGATTACAACTCTCCTTTAAGGTAGGAATTATTATCTTTAATAAGGAAATGAAGGCTCAGGGAAATTAAGTGGCTTATCAAGGTCAAAGAAGTAGTGTAATTGGTTATCCATCATTGTGTAATCATGTATCCCAGAATTTAATGACTCAAAATAATGAATCTAAAATATCTCAGTTTCTGTGGATCAGGAATTTGGGAACGGCTTAGCTGGCTCAGCTGGCTGGCTCAGGCTCAGGCTCACACAAGGTTACATTCAAACCTAAAAACCAGGGCTGCAGTCATCTGAAGGATTAACTGAAGCATGAGGAGCTGCTTCCAAGGTGGTTCACACACGTGGTCATTGGCAGGAGGTCTTAGCTCCTTGCCACATGAGCTTCTGCAATAGGCTGCTTGCAGGTCATGACATGGTGCCCAGCTTTCTCTGGAGCAAGTGATGGAGAGGGAGAGGGAGAGGGAGAGGGAGAGGGGAAGGGGGAGGGGGAGGGGAGAGGGGAGAGGGGAGAAGGAAGAGGGGAGAGGGGAGAAGGGAGAGGGGAGAGGGGAGAGGAGAGAGGGGAGAGGGGAGAGGGGTGGAAGCCTCGATGTCTCTTATGGTCTCGTTTTGTATGTTATAAGCCATCATCACTTATTTGTTTGAATTGAGTCACTAAATCCAGCCCTCCCAGGGATGAATTAGGCTCCTTTATTTCCCCTTGTGGTGCTGGGGATTGAGTGCTAGGCAAGTGCTCTACCATTGAGCTACACCTCAGCCCAGGATCCATCATTTAAGAGAGTGTCAAGGAATTTGTGGACATATTTTCAACATCACAGCTAATAAGTACCAGAGTCATGTTTAACCACAGGCGTTCAAACTCATTCCATTGGTGATTCATACTTACATACTCCCCTGTCTGGCCCTGTGCTTTCACGCTCTGGCCCTCCCTGGGGAATTCCACCTCCCAGCAAGTTCTAGATCTGTACCAGGCACTGGAGCTCTCTGCTGCTACCTAGCCTCTTAGCTAAGAGAGTAAAGTTATCACTCAGATTCTCATGGACTTACGAATGCCACATACAGGAAAATGATCTTTTCAGTTGTGTAGATGACAAAACAAAAGCTCTTGACCATAGCAGAGTCTAAGAATATGGATGTATCAGGGTAAGTCTGGGGAAAAAAAAACCCTACAAATGCAACATTGTCTAATTCACTGGGTCAAATTCCCACAGACCCACTCACTCAGCAGACGTGCATCTATATAAGTACTAGGCACATCTTGAGACTTTCATTATCAGATCTGTCACTTACCAAAATATCTCTGTTGTCAGAAGAGGATCCAAGATGTTCCTCTCCTGCTGACAACATCCCTTGGAAACACAGCCGAGGAGGTGAACACTTTGGTGTCTAATGCATACCCTGTGTGTTACAACCCTACTCTCCACACCACATTTAATGACTATACTCAAGAAACTCATAAGGAAAATAAAAAAAAAAAGAAAGAAAGAAACTCACACCTCCTTTGTGTAACTTGGGCTTTTCTTAGGTTCCGACACAGAACCCAGGTTCTGTTCTGGTTCTGACACTGGGTGGCAAAGGAACAAATGTGAGGACTGTGGCAATAATATTCATAACTACCGAAAAGTCTGCAGTAAAGAACCACTGAACGGTGAGACCAACTTGGGGGCCTCTGCAAGGCTAAGTAGTGAGAGCTGTTGTTTCCAAGCAATGAATTGCATTTGTAATCTTTTCTTCTTAGAATTTTATTATAGATATAACACCCCAGGACAGAATTACTTAAATCATAGCAGAAAAGGTGCTTTTGTCCAGTCTTCAGATGAAAATAAAAATTCTTCACCTCGTAAGTACATCCCCTGCAGGATCCTGTCTGTGTGGGTTGCCCTTGTGACGTTGGCCACTGCTTCCACCTGGAGAGCCTTGCCCTCTCCAGTCTGCTGCCCAGGTGTCCTGCACTCACCTGACACTTCCAAATTCAGCCCTACACCTGGGTGGCAAGAGGATAGTGGGGGGTGAGAAATATAAAATCCTAGCGATAAATGACTTTGAAAGTTATTGTTACACCAGTGCAAATCAGTAACAAAGCATAAATGTTTGCTGAACAAATGACTGAATAATCACCACTATTCAGAGTGGTTACAGCTTTAAATATATCCTTTCTAAAAGCATGTAGAAAAAAAATAGAACATTTTTATATTTCTTAGACATCATATAGCTCATTTTCAATGTGAAATTTTGCTGTCTTTCAAGAAAATTAAAATCCCACATTTATTTATAAGGATGACTAAGACATGGCTCCTCCCTCTCAAGGGGTTTCCAATTACAGAAAGGAACTTATCTGCACATAAGGAAAGTTCAAGGCAAAATGTGGTGCGCCATGGGAACATGAAGGACAGAAGAAAATACTTCTTGTTTTACCCTAGTGACAGCCACATTTAATTCTCCCACATGGGCCACATCCTTTCTTTCATCCCTTCAGAACTCTTCCCCTGGGGACAGGAGACCAGGGAGAATTTTCTTATTTTTCCCTATTGCTAGTGCCCAATTAAACAATGTCATTTACCTGACTGACCTCAGCTGTGTCTCCCCTACTCACCGCCAGCTGCCAAATCCTCCAGTGAGATGTATTCTCTCAAAGTGAAAGTCACTAAGACCCTGCAGAAGCAGATTTCTTTACTATCTCCTCAGTCTTGGGAACTGTTATTCCAATACATGTATGAGGAATACACCTGAGCCACTGAAATGTGATCTTGAACTCTTAGTAAACACAGTGGCTAAGAGGGTAGAAGTCACAGTGACTAAGAGGGTAGAGGCAGCTTTTTTTCCAGTGTTGGAAAGGAACCTTCCAGTAATTGGAGCTGATAGAAAATGGAGTGGGCTGTTGCAAGCCTTGAGCCCAATCTGGGAGACAATGTACGTTGTCCGATATTATAGATCTGTGGACTAGACTAGAACTGGATCTGATGACCCTGTGGTCTTTTCTGAGTTTCTATGTTTCCAACAAAATCCAAAGTTACATTTGGAGATTACCAAAAAATTATGATTGAGCTCATTAGTGCCTCCGTTCATCATGACCCAATGCCAGGTGGTCAGCAAGACTAAAATCTGGATTTTTTGGCTTCTGTCCTGCCTTCCATGTCTGAGGGACAATCCCTTCCAGTTTCCCTTGTCCAGTGGGACCCTTTGGATGGAAGTGAAGCCTGGCTACTAAACACCAGTGAATACAACAGGAGACCAGGATTGAGAAAGCAGGAAGATAGAGAAAAGAGGAAGAGAAAAACAGGGAAAGAATGGAGAAGAAGGGACCTCAGCAGATTTGCTAGCTGATGGCTTGTCCCTCTTCCTTTTTCTTTCTTCTTATCTTTCATGGTGACTTTCCTACATACTTCTTTTTAAAAAAAAATATTTATTTTTTAGTTGTAGTTGAACACAATACTTCTATTTCGTTTATTTTTTTTTATGTGGTGCTGAGGATTGAACCCAGAGCCCCGCACGTGCAAGGCGAGCGCTCTACTGCTGAGCCACAACCACAGCCCCCCTACATACTTCTTTTCTGTTTAGTCTCAAATTATCTTTTTGGGGTGTGTGGGTGTGTGTGTGTGTGTGTGTGTGCGTGCTGGGGATTGAACCAGGGGCACTTTACCCCTGAGCTACATCCCCAGCCCTTTTTAAGTTTGATGCAGGGTCTCAGTAAGTTGCTAAGGCTGGCCTTGAACATTGGCCTCCTGAGTTGTTGGGATTATAGTCATGTACCACCATGCCCAACTCAGAATTGTGTTAACATAATTGATAATTTTTGACTCCTAGATTTCTCACTCTGAAGTTGGAGAGGATTTCAGGAACTTCCAATCTCTTGGAAGCTATTATCTCTCCATTTATCAGATAAAGTATTTGAGCCACAGAAGTTGGACAACAAGCCCTGGTTAACAGCAAACACCTTAAGATTCGTAACTCTTGGTCTCTTGTCTGTTAATAGAATTCCTTTTAAAAGTTGCCCTTCTTTTCATGAATTCAGAAGACTTGATAGAAAATTCCTTGTTTTCTGTGTTTCCTTTATTTACATATTTATTAAAATTTTATGAAATATTTTATTCACATTGAAAAGTTCAGGAAAATGATATACATCATCATCCGGGAATTGTTTTGTTTTCAAATGAAGTTTATTTAATTTGGGGGATCATTTTTTTGCTCTCAATTTAATCATAGCTAATCATTTTCAGTTTGTCCAAAACCAAAACGGATCTGTTCCCAGAGAGTGAATTCGAAATCCTTTCAAGGTGAACATGAGCCCACACCTGGAAAGTAAGTATCATTTTGTTATTACTAAAAGTCACAAAATTAGCTATCATTTGTTAGATGCATACAATGTGTTTATCTGGGAATGATGGGAAACCAAGGAAGAGAGTTTTGTAATGTATTAATTCACTTTGAAATAGACTCGAGGAGCCAAATGTGGAACAAAGAGGCCAAATAAAGAGGCTAATGCAGTGATCCAGGTGGGACAATAGTAGTCATGGAGACAGAAGTATGTGCATTCAAGAGGCAGAACCAATAACAAGCAGGGTGCCTAATAATTCAGTTCTGTGATCAGATCAACTCAGTCTGAATCTACTACCCACTATCATAGTACAGCATTGGGCTTAAAAATGTAGTCTTTGAAGACTTCTGGGGTTTCCATTTTGGTTGTGCTCTTTGGCAGGTTATTTGACTTCTCTGTGCCTCTCTTTCCCCATATGTAAAACAGGGAAATTAATAATAGTGCAAATTCATTGAGGACTGAGTCAATACATTAAATATTGAGAACGGTACCCAGTTCATAAAAATTACTAAGCAAATGACAGCTGTTATTAATATTATTGAAAATGATAACTGGACACAGGGTAAAGCCCATGCTCTTCCCACTGCACCACTGCCCACTGCCACCCCCAGCCATTTTTCATCAGCTAGGGGACCCTGATGCAGAATGGACAACACTTATGTGGAGGTCAGATCCAATGTGCTAAACAGCAGAACCAACTAATGTTAATGTGGTAAGGAAAGAGGGATGAAGGGAGGTTCTGAGGTCACAAGTATCTGAAGTAAGTCTTTTTGGAGATGTTATTGCTCATAAATGCAAGTACCAAAGTAAGGCTTAGTAGAGGGATGAAGCAAGGATGGACAGGCAAGTCTATATGGCAGCTCTCAGGGCTACTTTCTCATGGTTGAGAAAAGCATCACTACTTGCATTGCCCATCATACATGCTATGTGAATAAACCCCCTAGTTATGAACAATACAATGAACAATACAATGGCCCTGGCATTCCAGTCACCCAGTGCAGACTTAGGGCCATCCCTCAGCAACAGAACCATAATTATAGTGTAGTAGTCTAGGGGGGCCTATTGACTTAAAGAGATGCTTCTTTTATTTTTCTACCTCCTCAGCTTCCTTACTGTGTAAGCTCATTGGTGCTAGGATAAACTCTATCCAAGGTGCCTTATGGTTGGCAATTTTATATGTGTATTTGTTTTATAAATATTCAGGGTATAAGACTGGTCCCCCCAAGAATGAAAATGAGGTAAAAATCCCTTTGGAGTCTTGCCTGTCTGTTTCAAAGAAAAAGGAGGCCAATTCTAGGAGAATTGTGCCCTCCTGATCATGGCAACAACCTTGTTCTGAAGTCAGCTGTGGTTGGTGGTAAGTCCACAGGACAAACGAGCTATGAAAGGCTGTGTGTATGTACACACATGTATGAATCGTCCCAACCTCTTGCCCCCAAAGAGCCTTTTAAAAAAATATTTAATAATAGTTGTGCACAATATCTTTATTTTATTTATTTTTATGAGGTGCTGAGGATTGAACCCAGGGCTTCATATGTGCTAGGCCAGCGCTCTACCACTGAGCCACAACCCCAGCCCCCAAAGAGCCTTTTACTAAACCAGTGCTGACTGGAACAGGAGGGTATACGTGAGGGTGGCACTTTACACAAGTATCAATGAATGTGTTTTTGCCTTCTAGAAAAAATACCTAAAATCTTAAGACTTTCATGACCTACAGCTGAAACTTGCAATACCTTTACTCCTTTTTCACTCCTTCAGGATTCCTGGAAGCAAATCCTTATGTGGCTTTAGTGGCTCTGAAGAAACAGAATCTAAGGTGAGGACTTAGAAAAAAGGTTCTAGATTCTTGCAGCTCATAAGTTTAATCTTAAAACTACAGAACTACTAGCTTTTAAGTCATTACAGTATAGGTTTTCAGAAAATGCTATGTTAAAAGCATTTTGTGCTCAGTACTAACCTAGAGACCTGCCATGTGGTTTGTATCATTCCTAAATTGGTTCCAAAGGACATTTCCTGGAGAAAGTGTTTTGTGGGTGGTGCCTATGCTGCAGGATTCCCCTGGCCCAGGCTTGAAGGTCTGGAGTGTGTTCCAGTGACACTGTGGTTAGGATTGCCAGCAGTTTCCTATTTTCAAGCCAGTAACACTTATCCTCAGGCCACTTTCAGATGTTCCACATTTGTGCACTGTCTCCCTGGGTGGTCTCTCAGTGGTATGGCCCCTAATTGGGACCCCTTTAATGCCCCCTAAGAACTTTTCTTTTTTTCTTTCTCTGCAGCAGGGAAACAGACCAGCAGGTTGCTGACCTCACCCTCTGATTCATGCTCATCAGTCACACGTTGATCTTTTCTCTCTCCCTTTCCCTAACAAATATATTCCATCTGACTGGTTTCCTAGGAAACTAACCCTCAAAAACAGAAATAAACTGTGTGGAAAACAGAATGCTCCAAAAATTCCATCTTGCAATGTTTAATAATGAAAGAAGCCAATTACCAAAAACATTAGTAAGTTTATGTAACTAAAACATGTGGACTTTTCCTCTGTAGATTTTAAACTCGGCTTTGGATCATGCCCTAAAGACAGCAACCATTTTGAAAAAAACTACTGATCAAATGATTAAAGCTATTGCAGAAGATCTTGCCAAAGCAGAGAGATGGAGGAATCAACTGAAATACTACTAGTTCAACACAAAGTAACCAAGGGTTAAAAAGATAAAGAAAACTTGATCTGCCCCCAAAAGTATTTCACTTATTACACAATTGAGAAAGATTATTTTCTACAGAAAGCACCAAAACCATAAGAAATGGTCAACAAAGTGTTTAATGAAAACAAAACAAAACCCTCTGATTCTTAAAAATCAAAAGCAACCAACAAATATTTATATTAAATAAATCTATGTTCTTCCTAATTCATAATAAAGAAAACAAAATGAAATAAAATCTACTTTCTCCTATTAATAGTATGGAAGAAATTAAAGTTTGAAAAAACTTTGTCAGTGAAGATGGAAACAAATGGGTGTTCTTATACAACGTTGATGGAATTATAAGTTGGTGAAGCTTTTTTGGAAAGCAGTTTGTTAATAAAGATGATCCTCCATTATGAAGGAAATTTTACATCCTGATAAACCTATAGTAAACTGAAAATACCAAGTTAAAAATGCATGTGAGAGACTGGGGTTGTAGCTCAGTGGTAGAACACTTGTCTAGCATGTGTGAGGTGCTGGGTTTGAATCTCGGCACCACATTAAAAAATAAATATTGTGTCCATCTACAGCTAAAAATATTTTTAAAAAATGCATGTGAAACACCTGACCTACCAAACATTGCTAGCCAGGCGTGGTGGCTCACACCTGTAATCCCAGTGACTTGGGAAGCCGAGGCAGGAGAATTGCAAGTTCAAATCCAGCCTCAGCAACTTAGTGAGGTCCTAAGCAACTTAGTGGATCCTGTCTCTAATAAAATATAAAAAAGGGCTGGGGATGTGGCTCAGTGGTTAAGTGTCCCTGGGTTCAATCCCTGGTACCAATACCAAAACAAAACCCAAAAAACTATTGCTTAACAACACACACACACACACACACACACACACACACACGGTAAAGTATCACTTGTTTCCCCTTGTGACTGTTCAGCTAACTGGGAGCTGTGGCTGGCTGTTACTAAGAGCATTAACAGAGTATTATGCCACATATCACTAGTAAGAAAGGGTATGCAGATCAAAATTCAAAATTTGAAGTACAAGTTCTACTGAATACATATCAATTTTGCACCATCATAAAGTTGAAAGAATTAACAATCCAACAATTGCAAGTCAGGGGCTGTTTGTAGCTACCAAAATCTATAGATTCAAAAAGCACTTATCTTTTGACTTGGAATTTATAGATAATCCACACATGTTACCATAAAGGTATAAGAAGGGCTCTGGATCATTGTAGCACCTTTAGGGACAACGAATCTTAAATACTCTGTATGATGATTAACAAATGATACTCTGCAGCTGTGGTGAGCCGTGTTTGTAGACCGTTGCCGCCATTAGAAGATGGCGCCGGTCTCCGTTGTGGATCTTGGTAAACAACTCCTTATTTGGGAGAGTTGGCGCGCTGTCCCTCAATACCCTATGAGAAAACACCGCGTGGCAGCTTTTGATTGGACTTGAGTAAGCTTTATTAGGCTGTGTGTGGGTGCGTGGAGGAGAGAGCGCTTGAGAGAAGATTAGAGTTAAGGCCTGAATAAACCGCTGAAAGAAGAATCCTGTGTCGTGTCTTCCTTGCTGGCGAGGGGGTCGCGACAATTGGTGGCCCGGACGGGGAACCAAATACCTCTCAATCCCAGGATCCAGAACTTTCAGCGGTCAGGGTGGTGCACCGGTAAGTTCCCAGGTAAGTGGGAATCCGCGGAAAAATTAGCGGGTCGCTCCTCTGTAAAAAGAGAGAGCGGGGATTTTTTGGACTTTTGCTTTATTTCTTTGCTTTCGCTTTCTGCATTAACGCAATGGGTGCCTCTGCTTCTAGCCCTATTCTGTTAGCCCTGGATGGACTGCTACGATCTAAAGGTTTAAAAGTTAAACAGAGTACCTTGCAGATGTTCTTAAAACAAGTAGATCTAGCGACCCCGTGGTTTGCTTACTCGGGCAGTCTCACGACCCCCAGCTGGGAAAAGCTAGGCAAGGATTTAGATTTTGCACACGAACAAGGGACCCTCGAAGGTGGGGTGATTCCTTTATGGAAGTTAGTAAGGGGTTTATCTGACAGTAGATGTCAGGATGCCCTAACCAAAGGACAGGAGGTTCTTGAACAATTGCATGAGGAGAGGTCCGAGGGAGCTGAAAGTATTAAGAGTGGGGGAAGTAATAGAGATGATAAATGTTCAAGTCAGCCAAAGACTAGACTTTATCCAGATTTGACTGAATTGAAAGCCTTTGAGGAAGACAGTAGTTCAGACAATGAGGAAGTATTGGAATTGCTATCACGGCAAGCTAGAGAGAAAAGGGGGAAAGGTGAAACTAAAGGGCGAGGTGATCCCCGTAAGGCTGTCTACACAGAACATAAATACCCAAAGACAGATGTGGGATATGAGGAAGAGGGGGAGGATGTTTTGGAGATTCCTCCTGACCCTCCACCCTATCCTAACCCAGGACTCAATAGGACGTTTCATGCACAAACATGGAGAAAGGTTCATTCGGACATGGGTTTAGCATTCCCTGTGTTTCAAGATGCCAATCGGGGGCGATATCATGAACCCCTTGACTTTAAAATTGTCAAGACATTGGCTGAATCAGTCCGAACCTATGGTGTGGATGCTGCATTTACACTTACCCAGGTGGAGGGTCTTTCTCGTTTTTGTATGACTCCGTCTGATTGGGCGAGCCTGGTGCGCGCCTGTGTTTCTCCAGGAAAGTATCTGGATTGGAGAGCATTTATGTTAGAGGGGGCAGTAGAGCAGGCGGCCCAAAACCATGCGGCGGGACGCCCTGCCTGGGATAAGGACATGCTTTTGGGACAGGGCAGATTTGCCAATCAACAAACAGGGTACCCACCGGAAGTATATGAGCAAATCAACAACATCTGCATCCGAGCCTGGAAGTCCTTGCCTAACAGAGGGGAAGTATCTGGTAATTTAACTAAGATCATCCAAGGCCCTACAGAGCCTTTTTCTGACTTTGTGGCTCGGATGGTAGATGCAGCGGGGAAAATATTCGGGGACCCTGATCAAACAACTTGGTTTTTGAACAATGTACTAAGGAATGCAAAGCAGCTATAACCCCATATAAAAATAAAGGAATAGAGGCATGGATGAAAGTCTGTAGGGAAATAGGTGGGCCACTTACTAATGCAGGGTTGGCTGCTGCCGTTCTCCAGCTAACCCGAAAGCCACCCCCTCATACAGGAAAGTGCTTTAGATGTGGCCAGGAGGGACATTTTAAGCGTGATTGTCCCCGAACAGGTCAGTTACAGGACAAAAAAGGGTCATCCTCAATTGTTCGACAGCCAGGACTATGTCCTCGTTGCAAAAAGGGTAAGCATTGGGCTAATGAATGCAGATCAGTCAAGGATATCCATGGACAGCCAATATCAGATAGACAGGTGCCAAAAAACGGCCGGAAGGGCCCTCGACCTCAGGGCCTGCAAATATATGGGGCCATGGAGAGCGAAACATGGCCATCTCTACGACATCCAAGGATCGCGGAGAACCACTACAGGTGCCACGGGACTGGACCTTTGTTCCGCCTCCAGACTCGTATTAACACCAAAAATGGGAGTCCAATTGGTGGAAACTGACTTTAAAGGACCTTTGCCACCTGGTACTGTAGGGTTGTTAGTGGGGCGTGCTTCTTCCACTTTACAAGGCCTTTACATCTTCCCTGGAATTATTAATCCGGATACAATAGGAACAGTAAAGGTTATGGTAGAAGCTCCAAAAGGTATTGTGTCCATCTCCCCTAGAGGAGACGGGGAACAGGTTTTCAACCTTTCTCGTGTTAATATCACGGGAACTTTCTGCTTCAGTTTCTTGAGAACCCGTTGTATTCGCTTACAGCACAACAATTTGACCAATTGGGAGGACCCCTTACAGAACAGTAGGGTCTCACTGGGAACCTTGTCTGCGGTGCTTAGCCAAGTGAGTAGTGGGGTACAGGAGGGCTCAGGAGAGACTACAAATTCGACCAAAATGAATATCACCACTTTGGCTATAACTTCCCAGGTGTCACTCCCGGTGGCTTTTCCTAACGCTAGTAATGCCACTTATTTTAAGGCCTCTCCTTATTGTACCCCGTACTATTCTTTCCCCCCGACATTCATGCCTTGTCAAGATCATTCTTGGGAGAAGCGCCAAGTTGCTGTGGGTTTCTCTCTTTCCCCTTCTCTTAAAAGGTATTTGTATAACTCTTCCAAGGCTAATTCCACTACAGGAACAGGTTGGTCTTGGTTTCAATGGTTGATTTCCAATGAAAAGGGGGCCACAGCCGATGTCTCTGCTCTGGCTCAATTGAGAGGAGTCCAGAGCTGGCTGTTTAATGTGTCTGGCTCTGTACAGGACACTGATAATGGTAGGAGGCTTAAAAACATTTCATACAATTCTCAGGTGTCCAATGCTACACTGCCCTCTGCAGCAGTCTGCCTTCATTCTCCGTTTCTGTTCCTTTTGATCAATGATACCAATACTACAGGATCGGATATGATTGACTGTTCTAATTGTACATGTGTCTTGTCTGAGTGTTGGAATGGATCCTGGAGCACGGCAGTTGTTATGAAGGTCCCGACTTTCGTCCCGATTCCAGTTACTGCAGATCCGGACTCCTTCCCTATTATTGAGGTGCTCAGGAGCCGTAGGGATTTTGGAATCACGGCAGCTATTGTGACAGCGGTCGCAGTGTCTGCTGCTGCAGCGGTCACTGCCGGAGTGGCCATGGCTAGTCAAGTGCAGACTGCGGCCACGGTTAATCAGGTCATCCAACAAACTTCCAGCATTTTAGAGTCTCAAAGTAAAATCAATCAACATATTTTATCAGGAATTTTGGCCCTTAATCAAAGGGTGGATCTCCTCCAAGCTCAGATTGAGGAATTGTCAGACCTAGTACATTTGGGTTGTGTTGATCATCGTGCACATCTATGTATAACATCTCTCAGATTTAATGATTCCAGAAATACCTCTCAAATCATCGGACAGTACCTGGCCGGAAACTGGTCCATGGAAGCAGAGAAGTTGATCCAGACCCAACTGACACAAATTGCCATGTTGAACAACACTCGTGTGGACCCTGTGACATTGGGCCAATTTACGAATTGGCTGTCTTCTGCTTTTTCTTTCTTTAAGGAATGGGTGGGAGTAGGCATTTTTGGAGCGATGTGTTGTTTTGGGGTTGTCCTTTGTCTGTGGCTTTTCTGTCGCCTAAGAGCTCGTCATAGCCAAGAAAAGGCTATGATCGTCCAGGCTTTTGCAGCCCTAGAGAATGGTCTCTCTCCACAAATTTGGCTTGCACAACTTAAGCAATAATTTCCTGGGTTTTG